ATGTATAATTTAATTTTATATATAATTTTGGTTCAACAAACTATTCATCTTTTTCTTAAGAATTAGAAGATAAAAATGAAAAAACAAAATGAATGTTAACAGTGAGTATCTGTCCTTAACACGGGAAACTCAGAGATTCGACTAGTAGTGGGATTTTCTAACGTTTTATCGACGATTATCGCTATCTTTAACTAGCGACAGTCAATAGCAAGGATAATCTTAGAAAAAAATGTGCTCCTCATTAGCTATCGGCGCTATCACTATAATTATAGCGACTTCGTCGATAAAACGTTAGAAAATCTTAGGCATCAGGCCACGATTTAAATCCCGACAGTGATTGGAGCGACGTGATGTTTTTCTCAAAAGCGTTTCGTATTCTTCGGAATACTATTAATTAAACATACAGCTCTCCAACGTATAGAAGAATTCCTCTATTAATGTTATTATTTAACATAATCTTTTCAAGTTCATCAAGAGGCATATCAAAGACGTTTATCGATATGTATACAAACTCGCCAAAAACGCAGTAATAATTGATTTAATAATGTGGCCGACAATTGTTTTTTTTCCATTTCAACAATTGTCCATCGAACAAGGGGAAGAATTAATGCATTTAGAAACTTTAAAGCTGCACACGATGTATTATATATTTTTTGTTCTCGCGGAAGGATAAAATCGGCGCAAAAGGTGACAGCGGAAGAAAAGGTAACAGCAGAAGGTGAAGATGCTTTTGTTTATTATTAACCTTATGTAATATCGTTTCAAATTTTCAATTACATTATTATATATAATAATAATTATAATAATCATCATAATAATGTTATGACAATGTATACACGTTAGATACAAGTTCATTTTCCTTCATCCGGTATAGAGTTTTGTTAATTATTTTTTCTCATCTTAATAAATCGGTTTTTTGTTTCTTAATTCACATTTCCACTCTCTCTTTCTCTCTCTATCTCTCTCTCACTCTTTCACTCTCTCTCATACATACACGCATACATTCGCATGAACATGCGTTCTTCTTTCTCTCTTTTCTTCTCGCACTTCCCACATTCATCTCTTATATTTTTTTGTCCCGATAGGAGTATGCCGAACGAGACATCAAGATATTATCAGATATTATCACTCTTTCATGCTCGATTCTCAAAGGAGAATGCTTACGCGGTGCCTCTCAGATACATCTTTCTCTCTCTCTCTCTCTCTCTCTCTTTCTCTGTCAGTCATATTATAGTTATATTTGTTTCTGAACACAATGCTTTTACTCATGACGTTAGGAAACTTAGGTTACTTTACTTCCGCCGCAGGAACATGTTCCAAAGATCTCCTAATTGTTTTCCGCGGGCACGTCTCACGGGACTTTTTCAAAGGCCGCACGTGCGCCCCGCGCTAGATTTGCAAGTTAAAACGTAAAATCATGGAAAGTTCGAGCGAAGAAACACGGAAGAAAGATTTCTCACGGCTACAGGGAGTACCGATCGACAATCTAATGAGTTACATGCGATCGAAAATTAAAAGATGTGTTAATCCTCCATTGCCCATATTATTCGTTGATATTTCAAAATATTCAATGTACACAAATATGAATCAGTATTTGATAGATCTTTTTTTTTCTTGAAAACAGAAGAGAATAGGTAACTTTCTATATTACAAAACTTTAAAGTTAAAATAATCGGGTCAGTCTCCAAGGGCGTGAAATGTGAAAATTGAATGGTAACGAAACAAGTCAGCGAGTGATTTTGAAATTACATTATTACATATAATAATAATAATTATTATTATAATCATAATAATATTACGACAATATATACATGTTAGATATAAGTTGATTTTCCTTTATTCAGTAGAGCTTTATTAATTATTTCTTCCCATCTTAATAAATCAGCTGGGCAACAGATGATCGAGAAAATTCGTCGAAAAATCGCTTCCGCGCTACAAATGTTTAAAAACATGCGAGCAATGCACAAAGTCATCGCATATACGTATCGGCTATGATAAATAAAATACAATATGTATGATTAAAATACAATACGGTTCGTTATCCTCTCTCTTTCTCTCTCATGATCGTTCTGCAAATCAAACATCTCTAACGTTTTATGTAAAAAAAAAAATACACACACACATGCACACATACATATACATGTATGTATGTATATACGCATATGTGCGTGCGTGTGCGTACGCAGTAATCATTTGGAACATGAATTGCGGCTGGCTCTTATACTATTAAATGTATACATCTCTGTTGTCTGCTAATTGGCTTAAATACTTTGCATTTTGCGACAGCTGAATGGAGTGGACAAATTCATCCCAAGACGGTGGCTCTCGAACTCGAAATAAAGCGCGCATGTCGGAAAGCGAAAGGAATCCTAAGGGGAGTTCTCTCATCCTGTTCGCCGGGCTTCCTTTTTCCCAATGGGAAAGGCTGTTGTACATGCATTTTTGAAACATACTCCTCGCGTCCTGTTTCTCTCTCTCTCTCTCTCTTTCTCTCTCTCTCTCGCGCGCGCAAACAAAAAAAATTTCTATCTCGCACAGCTCGTTTACCTCGCCTCGCATGTTTAATTAGCGTCTTACACGTTCACCATTTAAAATTGCTATTTCTCCCGATTCGAGAATCGTACCCTACCGCGGCTGCCCGTGAAAAAATTGTCCCTAAACTTGTTCTGGACGCCGGCGGTGTCCTTTAACTTCGCTAAAAAAAAAAGAACTCACGGTCTGCCAAGGAGAAGAGCGACTGGTATAACTTTTACGCGAATCTCATTAGTAACTTTTTTGCGTTGCCGTCAAGTGGAAGAAATTCCGGTCGCGTTACGGAACAAGACTCGGCCGGCCTTCGGTATTTTCTCGTGCAGCACATCTTCGAAGATCAGTTTTTAAGAAGATTTATGCGGTCGGTGGAAAGAGGAAAATGACTTCGAGCATCTTGATTGATTTTCTCTTTCAACTGACGTCAACCCAGGTAGCAAGGGGACATTATTTATCATTTTGACGTAAAAATAACGTTTTTAAAGTCATTTTGACGTCAAAACGACGACAAATGACGTTAGCTTGATACCTGGAAATAAACAGTTTTCGTAGTGTTAGTATAAGAATCACCAAACAACTACGTTGCTGCGTTAAGTCCATCTACAGTCCATCTACTTTATCTCTGGATCGTATAGGTCTTGGTAGAAAGTATATCTCGAGAATGCCAAGCGGTTGTCGACAGCAATGGCCGTTAATTGATACAATTATGACTTAACTCCAGCGTTATATGTGTATTTTTATCGTCTCATGTGCAGCGAACAGTTTAAAAGTACGCGCCGGTCACGCGTTCTTTCTTGGCAGGCCATGCGTCGTTTAACCGATCAATCACATTGCTACAGATAAACGATAATAATAATCATTCAGTTAAAATCAATAATATCGTCGAAAGGAGAACGATGCGCTTCGATGCATTATCAAACACGGCGCTGTGCCCAGGAGTCCATCGTGGGTCAGATTTTCACACCTCTCTCCGACGGAGAAGACCGGTACCGAATGCCTTCATACGAGCTATCTCGATGTAAGATATTGTTTCACGCGTAGTCATCCTGTTGACGTGCGATCGTCATCGTGCTGGAGCACAATCGCCGAAATGATTCGAGTTCCCGGACGAATAAAAAGTAAGTCCGAATGTACAGAGGTTTCCGAATGGCGTATCTCTTTGAGAATATTGTGAACACCGTTATTTGCGGGACTAGTGAGCACAGCGTGTAACAAGATGAATTCGGAAGAGGGCACGCGATATATATATATATATATAAAATATATAATATATATGTGTAATATTATATATATTATATATTTACATACATATATTTTCTTTACATATATATATATATATATATGTATATACATCGCACATTGTCTATATTTATAGAGCGTACTGATTTTTGCCGTTCAACAAGGTATTATTTGCGAGGACGCTCAGAATTTATCACAGAAAATCCTAAACGTCCCGCCATTTAATCTCTCTACACCTCTACATCTCTAACAAATCATATTCTGTACAACTTCAACTGCGGAAATTATCAAAAAGGTTATTGAGGTAAGGTGCGACATATCCCGTTTTACTTTTCTTCTTTTTTTCTTTTAGACGATTTTTCGGAGAGCTGCTTCTCTTCTCTCTTTAGGTATTTTATTTATGTCATAGTGAATCTATCTATTTTAAGCATTGCTTTCGAGCTATCTAATCACAACACAGACTCATTACGACTCTTGAAATTTAATGTATCTTAAGCACCGATTGCCGTAAATCTCAATGCGATATAAAAACATTTATGATACAAGTGTCAGTGGGCTTCGTATTCCTATTTATCCGTTGGTGATTTATATATTATTAGATACTGTTAGAAAATTTGTTTTCGTTCGGTAACTTATTATAAATTCGAGTATAACAAACTTCAACATCTGAGTTGCAATATAGAATGTCTCGTGTATATCTCATTAAATCGTATCTGCAAATGTTCTTGTATTGCAGGTGTATAAAAATATACAAATCATTCGAAAGGCCGCACGAATAAAATGATTCTTAGCAGATCGAATGGCTTGTGAAACGTTAGACTTTTCTCAGCTACTCGAAAGTATCTTATATTTCTCATATATTTACAACTAATACAACAAGAATTCAAATCTAAATTTCACAGTAAGACTCGTTATTTTTCCAGAAAATATATATACATTGTAAGAATTCTCTTGGTCGTCTAATACCTTTTTTTTTGGCCAAGCTCTTTTGACAACAGTCGCAGTTATGCAGACGAAATTGCTTTGCCGCTGCTTTATATTTACGCATTAAAATTTTCGTACAAAAAAGATATCGCAATTAAAACGTTAAAGATGACGGTTACATTGAGAATTATACATGTAGCTATTTATCGGAGACTACAAAAAGACAATTAAAATTAGATGTAGAACATCTTAAAATAATTTAATAAGTAAAGTTTAGTAAATCGGTAAAGATCCGTCAACAAAAGAAAAAAATTTATTACACACCATTGCCCTATATATAATATATTAAATGACATAATACAGATAAATTATTCTTCAAATCTTAAAGTCTCCGTTCATGTGTCATCTTCTTTTGTATGGAAGAGTATAAAAAGCCGCAAATATATAAAATATACCTTATAAACAGACTTGGTATTTCCATATTTTGCTATCGTGATTACAGAAAAGCAACATGTATAATTCTTTAAGATTTCTTTCTCTTTACAGCATATATCATTATTATTTTCTATTAGTCATATTTTTTTTTTCTTTTGTAACATCTGGGTGGTATAGGGATTATGGTTGCATTTTTTCATGGTCTGCCTTCAGGTACTATACTACACTTACAATTGGTAGTTTCATGACAAAATATAATTGTGATGGTAATAAGAAAGAAATTATTAGTTTCTATTTTTGTTCGTCATCTAGTCTTACAATACATAAATGATAAAAAACAATCACATTTTTTAATCGAGATTTAAAAAATTTGGCCGAATAAAAAAAAAGTAGAGTCTTCTATATAAATAAAGAGGCTACATTACGATTGGTGCGAATGGCATAAGCGCAGCGACCATCGGGGCAAAACGGCAAAAATCAATGACGATTGGCGTTGGAAACATGTGTATGCGAGTATGCGCGTATTGTTTATTATAAAGTATCTAAGTTCTTTGTATGATTATACCATTCTTGATCTCGATCTTACGTGTATGCTGCTTTTTAACTTTCTTATTACTGCTTTTTTAATGTATAAATATGTATTGTTGTTAAGCCGCGCAAACCTCGTTTGTTTAAAGTCCTTGTTCAACAACAAACTGACGTTTGCAACATCCTTGTCTTCCATTAAAGTAAATAAAAGATTCGAGTTTACAATGTTTGTGTGTGTTTTATCTCCTCACACTTAAAAGCTAAACCCTAAAGCTGCACTCTTATCATTCACCTAAGTGTATTGTACAAATAACTAGCAGTCGACGCGACTGTTTGCTCGCAAGTACTTGCTAAACCGTTTACATTCGTGACATTGTGTATAAAACTCTATTTGAGTACATGCTTACATTGGTAATTCTTACTTTTCCTTCTTTTTTTACGCGGTAATAATAAGTAATTATCACTTTTTCGCTCTCTAGGCCACACAGTTTGGTTGCCGAAAGTTTTCCGCTTAGCCGTTTTTGCTAAAAACTGCTAAGAGTGTCTGTGGAAATCGGGCAGGACCCGAGAGGCCAGCTGGGTTCATCCTCACTAGACCATTACTGTCTGTCCATGCTCGAAGCTTTCGTCAATCTTCCGTGTTAGACACATATATCCACTTTCAACATAGGACCAGTCAGCTTGATAAAAAATATGAAAATTCAGCAACATAACAGAAATAGAGATTTCCTCTCACTCCTTCCTCTCTTTTTCCTTCCATCGCATTCTCTTCTACTCGTTGGATTTCTCATACAGTCGTTAACGCCGCCGAGCTTAGGATATATTTTTTTTTTCGTTTCTATGATCTCTTGATATACAGAGAGATTTGGGCTTTGTGACTTGTGGTTATTTATTGGATTTTCCGGGAAATTTTTCATTTATATTTTTTCAGAATTGTTCAGCCAAACCAACGTGTCCGAAAAATTTCTTGAATCCACTGCCGAAGTTGAGGCTAATCGCGATACCGTGATTTTTTTTCTTCTTGTTTCCTTTTTAACTCTGTGATGAGAAAGCAGCATCGGGGAACGACTTTCAAGATGTTTACATGCCATTTTTCCGTTCTTTTACCGTTTTCTCGTCAATGCCACGATAACATCATTCAAGGCATGCCGTCTCCGTAAATTAGCTACTCATTTTCTTCACGGTTTTGCGTTCGCGACAAGCTGTATTGTCCACCGTCAGTTGCCCTTCTGCTACTTTAGTGGATAGCGACTGGGCTCTGTTGGACGCATACCCCGACCATTGGGCTATCTTCTCTCTCTGGATCTCTCTGGTTACCGGACGACACCGTTGACGGCTGTCTGACTATACCGTGTGTATCAGTAGACGAGTAGCCGTAGTTGTAGAAGTTCTGCTGCTGAATCATTGGTGAGGTCATCATCGCAGGCAGATGGGGTATACCAGGAATAATTAGGCTATTGTACGATCCAAGAGAGCTCTGTATCAGGGAGCTGTCCATGGATTGCATGGACATCGGGGCGGACGCGGGCACCCCAGTGGCCGACGTTGATGGGTAGCCCGTTGTTATGGCACGCCGACTGCCCGTGTGACGGGGCGAGGACTCACAGTCCATGGGCTGGTAGCCACCACCAGGGAGACTTGATGCTTGCATCTGCTGCAGACTGCCGCCGCCGCTACTGCTGCTGCTGCCCTGTCCCGACATGGTTACCAGTCCTGGGACATCGAAAAGAAAAAAGTCAGTAAAGAAAGTAAAATAGCATTTTCTCGCGATATAGATATATATATATATATATACACACTAATGCCATAATCATCCACGAAAACCGCTCTAGCTCTTACAATCGAATAATCACTAATATGGGAATAAAGATAAATAAAATTTCAAACGTCTACAGGGACATTTGCAGGCAATAATCTCCACCGCTACCGTTTTTTTTTTTCACGCACATTCGTAAGAGCGTAACGATACATTCTTTAAATTTTAAATAAGTATCGAATGTTATTATTTTTTCCCATTCCCATAAATTTATATAAGCTGATTGGACAAATATTTGACACGTGATTAATTACGAAATTGTTAATCTTAATTTCTACACAAAGTTTCTATGCATTTTATTTGCTGCAAAGTGTATACTTGTAGAATGATTCGCCAAAATTATTCAAGTAATTATATTGAATTATTTATCGGCATATAATCGCGTAATCGATTTGCATCATAATCTTCTCTTAATTATACAGATAATAAGTTAATGTGCAATTGGGGTTTTACATTAGGCAAACTTAAGAAAGAGGGGTATATAATAGTAAATGCATATATGTATATATATATATTACTGATATGGACAAGACTTATTTCACAGAAACGTTACAATTTCATGTCCCATTTACAGCATTGCACTTGTATAAAGTGCACGATGCAAGCAGCTAAAGCATGCACAAAAAAAACTAGAAGACAATGATGTGAGAGACTTTTCTACAAAACAGAAATTCGCTTAACACAGATGCAATACTTTTAGTTGGAATATGTTCTGCAGTAATCATCCCGGACAACATTCGTGTAAAACAATTTGTTATTTTTAATCACAGCGAAAACAACACGAAAAACGATAAAAGAAAACATATTCCAGCAGTGACATGATGCTATTTTTCTTTTTTCTTTTTTTGTCCTTTATGCTCTAAAATATATTCATCAAAAAGGACAGTCTCGTGTTATAATGAATAATTGGCCTCATAGTAAACGTTAGTCATACATCGTGTATTAATACATCGTGTCGATAAAGTAAGGAGGCACGGGCTAGCAATATCAATCCGTGTCCCAAAAGGGAATACCTTCAAGCAAGCAAAGCTTCGCGCAATACATTCGAGGCCAGGATATGATTTATTAGGGACATCGTTAGTCTTTTAGCGTGTGTAGGATTGTTTGTTAGATACAGAACTTACTTATGTTAGTAAGTAAGATTAGGGTTGGGGCCTAGGACAGGTCGTCGCCGCCCCGCGGATACGACAGTCATCGAGCCACGTATTGTCCCCCCATCATATCTACGGGCAACAACAAGTATCGTTTAGTTTGCGCAGAAAATAAAAGATATCATTAAAAAAGGGGGATTATGATTGATCGCGGAGCACAAGTGTACGTATTTCACAGCATAATTAACCTTTATCAGTACAGAGCAAATATATCGTCCAGATAGATCTAGATGTCACCTATGATAATTACTCAATAAATCACAGTTTTTAAGAAAAACATAACAGTTAAAAATACATCCATTTAAGAGATTGTAAAAAAAGATAGAGAATTTCTTATTTTCTGCACAAATCAAAACCTTCCTAAACTCTCAATAGAACTGTCCGTCTTGAGTTTCTGTTCATATCTACCTTATGTTCAATTATTCAAAGATAGTCATTAACAGCTCAGAGATATCATTAGCCGTGATCAAATGCATCTTTTCTCTTTTAAATCGTTCGCAAAAACGATTTCAAACGTTGGTAATTCCTGTAAGCTCTCAAGTAATCTATTGTAGCCTGAACAGAACATGTGAATGCAATTATAAATATTAACCTGCCTCTTAATTATTACATTTATACAAAACTATCTATATAAATAGTGAATAATGAAAAAAAATCATGACTTTTCTTTCTATAGCGGTACCCATTTGCTGAGAAGACCGATTCAGAGGAAACTATGGATTAAATGTATCATTAGGTGAAGTAATCAAATATAATATTAATAATGAATGATGAATGAAATCAAGCGACATAGAGCCATACTTTGATAGTAAGATCATATTTCTCGCTGCAATTAATCGTTTAAGGTACAGTTATTGTGACATAATGCAAACCTGACACGTTTTCAACTTCAGCTGTCGTTATTTGAATTGTGATAACCGTGCGACACGGAATTACACGGCGTGGGCATGGATGAGACAATTCAACATTGAAAACCTGTCAGCTTCGAAGAAACTCAGATGTGAAGCACATAAATGCGTATTCGGTACTTCTCTTCTCTATGTTACACAGTGATTCGGCAAAATGAAATGACGCTAAATGATTAATCGGACTTACCATGATCCTGGCTCATCGACACCACTGCCGGACTCGTGCTCGCGCTATTAGCAGCAGCGACATTCGTGTTGGTCCCCTCATCGGCTGTCCTCTTAAAGAAGTTGTGCTGAAGTGCGTAATACGGCGTTACCCGTGTCTTCGGATCGAAATCCAACATCCGTACAATTAGGTCCTTAAACTTGAGATAATCGGACATCGAATGGCCCGGTTCCCCCATTCTCCTGCCGCCTGGGCCACCGCTTTCGACACCTAAAATATCGTGTAAGCGCCTCGTGCCGGGAGGTTTGTATTTTTTACCATCCTTGGACTTTTTCAGCACGTACGAGCCATCCGTGGAGACTTTGTCAAAGTACTTCCGCGCCTTGTGCGCTTGGTCCAGTATATGTTTCGGCGGCATTCCTAGTACTTCTACGATTTTGTTCATTTGATCGACCTGCAAATCATAAGAGAAATTCCTTATGTTGCCAAACAGAGATCTACATTATATCGAACGTAACATGCACTCTCTTTACTCAGATAAACTTTTTGCCATGTAAATGTATCTTAATACGGTAGCGTCTCGTACTAGTAATTAATTATCGAGAGCTACAAATTCAACATGATTAAAAACAATTTGTATAATGGTCGGTCTTTACCTCGTTGGCCCCACTAAACAGAGGTTCTCCCGTGTGCATTTCTACTAAAATACATCCCAGACTCCACATGTCTATCGCGAGGTCATAAGGTATTCCTAACAAGACTTCCGGAGATCTGTAGAACCTGGACTGGATATACTGATATATCTGCGAACGCAAAAAGAAAGGAAGAAAGACAAGTGAAAAGGATCGACAGATCAAAAGCGAATGTGCGCTAATTAGCTCTTTCTAAGACACCTACTCTTTGTCCAAGTTGACACGAGCTACCGAAGTCGACTATTTTTATCGCACTTCGTTTGGGATTGCACAAAAGGATGTTTTCAGGTTTCAGATCACAGTGAATGATGTTCAATTCCGGCGTAGACAGGAACAAGAGGGCAGTACACAGTTGCTGTGCAAACTTTCTTGTCAAGTTCAATGACACTCCTCGGAAATTCGTATTTCTAAGTAGGTCATATAGATTATACGATAGCAGTTCGAATACCAGACATAAGTGATTTCGCCACATAAAATGCCTCTTCAGTTTAACTGTAATCAAAAAGAGAGAAGGCGTTAAGCGTCACGTCGCGCGATATCTCTTAACTATAGCACACAGTTTATACTGGCGCACCTATATAATACTTGTTGTCGGTATCCGCTCTGTTCATCATTTCCAATAGCCTAACTTCGATTTGCGCTTGATTAAGAAAAGGCTTCTTGTTCTTGATGATTTTTATTGCCACTTGCGTTTGCTCTTCGTGGTCAAATGCTTTCACTACTTGGCCAAAACTGCCTTTACCTGTAAACAGAAAACGTATAAATACGTCGAATAAGTAGAATAAATTCAATTCGAATAAATAAAATCAATTTGAATAAATGTAATATTTTGATTAAACGACAGTTGTTAAAAATAATATATTATTGATTACGTATTAAAAAAATATACTCGAGAAATAAAAATTATCGATTACCGGAAAACCATCGCGATATTATATTTGTTCGGTAAATACAATTAACTCGATATTGCTTGTCTTCTTTTGTCTTACCTATTAAAGAATCGATCTCGTATCGATCGAGGAACTTTTCCCCATTCTTGATGATATAATCGTGATTATCGTCATCCCAGCCATCGTTGTAGAGTTTCCTCTCCTTCTTATGCGAACCATCTTCCCCTTGCATCTGCTGTGCTCTTCTCTTCTTCTTCGCATAGTAAACCTGGAAAAGAAATTAACGAAATCAGCCGCTGTGTCAGCCTCGATGTATAACTGAAAGTTTGACAGAATTCTATGCTCCATATGAGCAATGGAAACATTCAAGAAAATTATCGAAAAATAAATTAAATAACTACCGAAACTTAACGATCTATCGTATCGCCATTATTTCTGATGCTGAACTTTTTATCATCGATCTCTTCTCCCTCTTTTGTTTTCGAAAATGCGTGAGGGTGAATTATTAAGGGGTTAAAAATTGCGCATTTATTCAAATGTTATAATGTTTTTTTTATTTATTGTTATAATATTCATTGGAGTTATTTTATGTGACGTATCGAATCCTAAAACGGAACTCTTCGTTAAGTCGTGACTTATGTAATCGACGTATTCATCGGGGAAAGGTAACTGAGCTTGGACAATCAACCAATTGGCCCAAAAGTTCGTGCGACCCGCTTATCTTTATCAATCCGCCAGACCTAGCAAACGGGGTTACATAACGAACCACGCGGCCAGAGGTTATTATTCGCGCATGCAGGTCCATGACGTTCCGCGAGATGAGGGGAGGGGAAAGGAGGGGAGAGGAAGAGAGAGAGAGAGAGAGAGAGAGAGAGAGAGAGAAACTAGCCCGATCGATCGCTTAAATTTTTCCACGATGTATAAATTGCTGAAAAAAACGTAAAAACCCGCGTTTGCCACCCTCCTCTTCTCCTCTTCCCCGCTCCTTCGATCAAACCGGTGCCGCGAATCGTTCGCGTAAAAAAAAGCTGAATCGTATAATTCGCCGTAAATATCCTCGCGTCTACGGGACGAGAGGAAGGTGGTGGTGGAAGAACGGCGCGCGACGCAAGAGGGTGAAAGAGACGCGGAAGGGCGGGGGAGGAGAGGCAAAAGGGAAAAGGGCGCAGAATCCGATCTGCCGCCTTCGTCCCGGGAATCGATATGCTCGCGACCACGTGAAAACCACGCCGTTGAAAAGCGATGGTCGGTCGCTTTTGTGTAAAATCCGACTCGACGCCGCGCGTGAAAACGATCGACGGCGACAACGATGGGACATCCTCCGTGAGGATCTCTGATCTTACGTGAAAATTTCGCGAAAAAGCAAAGGCAAAAAATGGGAAAAGAGGAACGGAGGCAAGGGAGGAGGATGGGCGAGAAGGCCCCCGCGGATCGGGCAGGATGGTGGTTGGCACGCCTCCACCGGGTCATCGACACGGTGATGGTCAGCGCTGTATCGGCGTCTACTAGTTACAACACTCTATTTCGGCATCGATTGTACCGTCGAAGAAGTACGAGGAGCACTCGGTTCTACCATACCACTGCCGTCCCTACAACGGCGGCGGCGCGGCTAATGAACTCATGCCGACACTTTCGCGTGAACGGGGAGGAGGAAGAGGATACCGAATCTGAGCCGTGGTCCCGGAAGCGCGGAATCATGCGATGATGCAACCGACAGGCGGCTTATTTTTGACTTCGATTAGTCAAGCCTGTCAAAGCTTAAGTTACAAAAGCAATCGGACAGGTACCGTCCGATGAAAACCGTGGAAAAACACACAGAAAGGAACGCACTTTGCTCCGAACGTCTTGCATTGCGGTAGGAAATTTTCTTGACGCCTTGTATTTGGGTATGGTACCCAATTCGATTGTTTGTATATATACGGAAAGAACGAGTTGCTGAAATATCTAAAAATTTAGATACAATTCTGAAAAGAATTTCGTTGGATCATCAAAATAGTTAGAAACATTCAACCATGATGAGCAATGCAGAAACATATTCCAGCAATTAATTTGAACGTCCTACATAAAATAATTACATTTTGATCAACAAAATTGTTTTCAGATCTGTATTTACACACAAAAAAAGTATTATTTTATTGCTAAGAAAAGTGATTACTCAATTTACTTTCTTTTCTCTTTTCAGTAAAGCAATAATTATCTTCAACAAACTTACTACAAATTTTAGAAAAATTTATTATTATTATTATATATTCAAAATAAGAATTTATTTTCTTTTAAAAAATATTATAAAATTGATTGAAGAAATCGCTTCATATAATAAACAAATTGAATTTTTGTTTTAATTTAATAATCTTGATTAAAGTATTAAACTTACTAGAATTCACACAGAATATATTTTGAATAAATGATGCTTGTGACGAACTTATGATGTAGGATTGCGGATACATGAACTTTTGAAATACTTGATCATTATATTTGAAACAAGTAATTATTACTTGCGTATAGTAAGGTTGTGTAGCTGAATTTTTAGATACTTCAGCAAATCGTTCATTCGATGTAATTTTCATAAAAAGTAACATATAAAGAATTTTTTTCAATTGAAACGCACGGAAAGAACAGACCAAGTATGTACTTTTATTAATAAAAGATTATAAACAATGGAAACAGCATTGGAAAAAACTTGGCGTCCTAGAGTAACAACAAAAACTATGTACCACACAGTTCTCATTTAAGATTTGTGAAAACTTTGCAAAAGATTAGTCGGGGTTTCACCGATGGGAGTCCAGTAAATCGCTAACATCCGTATTAAATACTGTCGTAAAGTCTCACTATGTTATCTCTTTGCAAGTTTCAGAAATATCGATTACATATTCTCTTATAAGAATTTAAACGGTTCTAAATATCGTACGTGTCTCGTGATGTATGCTAGTTTCTCCCGGAAAATGTAACTGATCAGCATATCACTTTCATGGTTTTTAAATACTGCCTACTATTTTTACAGTAAGTCCACAAATACAGCTGTTTAAAACATCATTTTTGAGCAAGTATATTTCACTGTTTTAATTTATATCAGTTTCTATTATCCCTCCCCTCCATCTTCTTTTTCATTCCTCCCCTCCCTTCTCTCTCTCTCTCTCTCTCCCTCTCTCTCTCTCTCTCTCTGATGGATGAAGATAAACGGTAGTCTCTCATGATTTTCAAATAACGTCTTTTCGTATTAGTCCATGACTTGAAATGCTTACAATACCGCTTCCGAACACAAATGGCATTTTTTCTTTTTAATTTATGGCGGCTCTCTCCGCGGGGGAGGAAGATAAAATCAGAAACCCTCGCGGAATCAGGCACAAAGCCTCTCCCTGCGTTCCGCCACCCCCGCAGGAAAGCTCCACTCGCGCGAACAAAACTTCCATGTTCTTATAATGGCATCCCGTTGTAACTCGACGCGGTTAAAACTTCAGCTGGTTGTAAGCGCGGATCTTCCTCTCTGCAAAGAAGCGCCACCGGAACACCGACCTTATTTTACGTCGGTATATGGGTTACTCGGAAATTTAACTCGCGCGCGAACCTCCTATGTCACAGCATGGTATTTCCCGATCGATTTTTTTTTTCATACATAAAAAAACATAATTTCACCTTCAGGAGCGGCGACGGCGAGATCACGTGAACGAAATCGGTCGATTTCACGTTATTCCGGTGGGTACTCTACACGAGAGCAATTTTTATTGATTCATTTTTTATAATTTATTTATTATTAATTTAATTCATGTACAGAAAGAGGAGAGAAAATCTATCACGCATAAGACATTACTGCCACATCGTTGCTATAAAATTTTCTTATTTTTAAAAAATCGTAAAATACATTTTATATTAAGTGAAAAATGGACGAGAAATGTTTATCGTAAATAAAAAGAGCTATACTCGGTCAGGCCAGTGCTTAATAATATGTTGTGTAAAATTTTTACAATTTTCGGTTCAAAACTGTGTGGCGATTTTATTGTCGATCTTGAAACACAGTCTTAGATTGGAGCCAAAGTATGAAATACTACAAATTAAATTGCTATAAGCAATTTATTATTATTGATAGTAATAAGCATCTTTAAAGTACTATAAATAATTTATTGCGAAAAATATCACCTCAAGGATCTCTCGAATTCCGTGCGACCGTCCAATTCCATCACTGTTATTGCGATGATATTAATTGCAATAATGTATATGTAGAAAAAACATTTTTTTCAGGCGCCGTAAATAAAATTGTAAATAAAAAATGAACCGACAAATAAATAATTGGCGTACAGTTTGTTTGAACTAAAAATTCACACAATATATTATTAGATAGAGCACTAAAGCTCACCTTGATCGAATATGGCCCTTTGTCACTTTTGTTGAATAGTCTGTATTATTTAATACGGAGTTTAGCTTCTATTATTACTATTATTTATTACCTCAATATACTCCTTCACACTACCCACAATTTCCGACATAGACTGAGGTTAGTAGACTAGATATATAGAGGTAAATAGATTAACCGAATCTATGTTAGAAAATACTGGAGACACGCGCACTTAAACGTGTTTGAGCACACAGCAAAGACTGCCACTCAGTTACCCGTGATATCTCGATGCGGACGCTTCTCCTTAAAAAGTTGTGACACATTTTTTTTCGAAAAATCATAAGTAAATATTTTTATTTTCGAACTTTTTATCTTAGAAAAATATGTAGTTGTCTGAGGTATTTAATTTCCGTTAGATAATAAGTATAGTTTTTACTTAATAAAATTCAAGTTTGTTTTTGTATTCGTAGATGTTTTTAAAAAATAAATAAATGGGGACTATTAGGCTAATCTTACCAACGGACTATGTGACTCATTTAATGACGAGTCTTATAGTATTCTTCTTCATTTTAAATGAACATAATGCAACAATTTGTGTTGTTAAATGCACTTAATAAAATCATTTTTTTTTTAATTTTAACGAATTTAAATAATAATAATTAAATATTAACACATGTTCTTAGACATATTCCAGATTTTGACAGATTTTTTATTTTGTTAAAGATATTTTTATTTAAGGTATATGTTCACAGCTTTTATTGTTTGAAAAATATTGTTTTCTCTTAGTCTTGTTCTAGAAGTGAATTACAATACTTATTTAACATATTGATCGCCGAATGTAAATCGAATATGTTTTTTGCGGACACGAATCTCGGCTTACTTCTTAGGCATTCTGTTGTTTTTATTCTTTAGGCCGGTCTCACCAACTCTGATTTCGG